GTTGTGCATATATCATTATTTACCTCTGTCTCACTTAGCCCATTGAGACCTGTCTAATTGTTCTATCTGCTTTGTTCTTCCATTCCCCTCTTCCTACTTGTATATTGCCCCCTCCCTATCACCCAAACCATCCTGTGTCTAATCCCTTCCCTGTGCTCCACCTTCCCCTCCCTCCCCTCACCCACCCCCAACATCCCAATAATCAACAAAGAATCCCCCTCCACCCCCCTTTAATATGGGTTCTTTCCCTTAGTCTTTTACAGTAGCCACCCCCACTTTTACATAGTTGGAATTCCAGAAGAGATAGAAATGTTGTATTTTATCTTGCGTTTTTCATGTTACTACCCAGTATTCCTATAGTACATGCACATCATGTAGACATTCCAGTTTACCGAAATGAGTGAATATTACAGTGGTCATTTGTGTGCAGCTAGCTAATCTCTCCTTTAAGGAAATCTTTTAAAAATTGCCTCTGTTCTCTCAGGTTATAGTCTTTGTTATTACCAAAGTTACCCCAGGCCTCTCCAAATTTTTGCAGTAGAAAATGACAATCTTAATATGTTTTCTTTTCTTTCTATCAAAAGTTATGTTTCTTTTATAAAATAAGCTCAAACATTACCAAACTATAGAGCCTAAGAAGGATACATCTGTAATTTCCCTCAACTCTGCTCTTACCTCTCCAACTCTACCCTCAAGACAGCCACTTGGCACATAATCCTTGCTGGTGAAAGGCTGTAAAAATGCCTTGCAGGCACCAGACCTCATCTAACTTCACAAGTGAAGAGAAGAATCATCAGTATCAGCAGTCCAGGGTGACTATGTATGGTGGAGGTCAGACAACGCTTCCTCCAACCTTTTTACCAACTCTGACACCAGCTGTCCATCCCACTTCACTCTCGACTCCGCTGCATTCAGAGTTTGTTGCAGTGCCCATACATACTCAGACAGTGCTCAGGACTGTGAGACTTAATAGGGAAACAAAGGGTTACAATTCAAGATCAGAAATGACTCGGGATACAGTTCTCAGTCAGGATGGTTTCTCCATCATGCTAGCAGGCAGGCAGGCCTCTCTCTCTGGCCTCTGACCTGCTCAGGGAAGCTCTTTAGTTATGCCAGTAAGTACCCAAAGCATCCCACTTCACCAGTAAGCCTTGGCCCAAACACACTTGGCTCTCTGCCACTCTGAGAGTTGACATACCCAGTGTAGCCACTTCCTGATGGTCTCCTAGGTTCCTGTCATCTCTTGCTGGCTCCCATGTTACAGCACTCCTTAGGGTCTCATTCAGGGACCCCAGGTCCAAATGACATGATCCACTCCTGACTCTTCTTTCTTGGTAGTAGTGAGATTCCCTCCTCTAGTCTGGGATTGGCTCTCTTTTAAGTATAATCCAAAAACAGTTGCTCGTTAGGGTTTCTGAGACTATATATCTTCATGGGAGCAGACAACCTCATCTTTCTCTCACAGAACTACTGATGAGTTTGAACTGCCAGCTTTGCCACCAAGACTCCTTTTAATAAGCATGTTGTCGTTGTTGTTGTTAGGTGCCATTGAGTCGGCACCAACTCATAGCAACCTTATGCACAGCAGAGCAAAACACTGCCCAATCCTGGGCCAGTCTCACAATTGTTGCCACACTTGAGTCCATTGATGCTGCCACTTGGCCAATCCATCTTGCTGGGGGTCTTCCTCTTTTTCTCTGACCCTCCACCTTACCAAACATGATATCCTTCTCCAGCAACTGATCCCTCATGACAATATGTCTGAAATATGAGAGATGAAGTTTGGTCATTTTGTCCTCCAAGGAGCATTCTGGCTGCACTTCTTCCAAAACAGATCTATTGGTTCTTTTGGCAGCCCATGGCACTTTCAATATTCTCCCCCAACACCATAACTCAAAAGCATCAATTCTTCTACAGTCTTCCTTATTCACTGTCCAGCTTTCAAATGCATATGAGGTTATTGAAAATACCATGGCTTGGGTCAGGCACACCTTAGTCCTCAAGCTGACATCTTTGCTCGTCAGCACTTTAAAAAGGTCTGTGCAACAGATTTGCCTAATGCAATACGTCGTTTATTTCTTGACTGATGCTTCCGTGAGTATTGATAGTTGATCCAAGAAGAATGAAATCCTTGACAACTTCAGTCTTTTCTCTGTTGATAAGAATGTTGTTTATTGGTCCAGTGGTGAGGATTTTTGGTTTCTTTACATTGAGGTGTAATCCATACCGAAGGTTGTGCTCTTTGATCTTCATCAATAAATGTTTTTAGTCCTCTTCACTTTCAGCAAGCAAGGTTGTATCATCTGCATATCGCAGGTTGTTAATTAGTCTCCCTCCAATCCTAATGTCATATTTTTCTTCGATAACCCAGCTTCTCGGATTATTTGCTCAGCATACAGTTTGAATAAGTATGGTGAAAGAATACAATCTTGTTGGATACCTTTCTTAATTTTAAACCATTCAGTGTTCCCATGTTCTGTTCAAACAACTGCCTCTTGGTCCGTGTACAGATTCCTTATGAACACAATTCAGTGTCCGGAACACTCATACTTCACAATGTTGTCCATAGCTTGTCATGATCCATACAATCGAAAGCCTTTGCATAGTCAGTAAAGCACAGGTAAACATCTTTCTGATATTCTCTGGTTTCAGCCAAGGTCCATCATGTATCAGTAATGATATTCGTCATTCCACAGCCTCTTAAGAATCTGGCTTGAACCTCTGGAAGTTCTCTGTCAATGTATGCTTGCAGCCGTTTCTGTATTACTTGTAATAAAACTTTACTTGCATGGGATATCAAAGAGATTGTCCTATGATTTCCACATTCCATTGGGTCACCTCTCTTTGGAATGGGCACAGATACGGATCTCTTCCAATCAGTCAGCCAGATAGTTGTCTTCCAAAATTCTTGGCAGAGATGAGTAAGTGCCTCCTGTGCCTCCTCGCTTTCTTGAAAGATTTCAATTTTTATTCCATCATTTCCTGTGACTTGTTCTTTGCCAATTCCTTCAATGTACCCTGGACTTCCTCCTTCAGTATCATTGGCTCTTGATCATATGCTACCTCTTGAAATAGTTGAACATTAACCATTTCCTTTTGGTACAGTGACTCTGTGTATTCCTTCCATCTTCTCTTGATGCTTTCTGCATCAGTCAATAATTTGCCCAGAGAATCTTTCAGTAACGAAAGTCAAGGCTTGAATTTTTTCTTCAGTTCCCCCAGCTTGAGAAATGCTGAGCATGTTCTTTCCTTCTGGTTTTTTTATTCCAGATCTTTGCATGTTTTGTTGTGATATTTGGCATTATCTTCTCGAGCTGATCTTTGAAATTTTCTGTTCAGCTCTTGGACCTCCTCATTTCTTCTATTTGCTTTAGCATCTCTATGCTGGCTGGAGAGCAAGTTTCAGTGTCTCTTCTGACATCCATTTTGACCTTTTCCTTCTTAAGGACTTTTTGCTTTCTTCATGTATGATGTTCTTGATGTCATCCCACAACTCCTCTGATCTTTGGTCTTTAGTGTTTAATGTATCGAATCTGTTCTTCAAATGATCTCTAAATTCAGGTGGGATATATTCAAAGTCATATTTTGGCTCTCATAGACTTGTTTTCATTTTCTTCAGCTTCAGTTTGAATTTGCATATGAGTAATTGATGGTCTGTTTCACAGTCTGCCCCTGGCCTCGTTTTCACTGATGATATGGAGCTTTTCCATCGTCTCTTTCCGCAGATATAGTCAGTTTGGTTTCTATGTATTCCATCTGGCGAGGTCCATGTGTATAGTCGTCTCTTATGCTGTCTAAAGAAGGTATTTGAAATGAACAAATCATTGGTTTCGCAGAATTCTATCATGTGTTCTCCAGCATCATTTCTGTCACCAAGGCCATATTTTCTAACTACTGATCCTTCCTCTTTGCTCCCAACCTTTGCGTTCCAATCACCAGTAATGATCAATACATCTTGATTGCATGTTTGATCAATTTCAGACGGAAGAAGTTGGTAGAATTCTTCTATTTCATCCTTATTGGCTTTAGTGGTTGGTGCGTAAATTTAAATAATAGTGGTATTAACTGGGCTTCCCTGTAAGTGCATGGATATTGTCCTATCACAGACAGCATTGTAACTCATGACTGATCTGGATATGTTCTTTTTGATAATGAATGCAACACCATTCCTCTTCAATTTGTTATTTCCGGCATAATAAACCATGTAATCATTAGATTCAGAATGGCTAATACCAATCCATTTCAGCTCACTAATAGCTAAAATAACAGTTTATGCGTTCCATATCATTTTTCCAATTTTCCCAGATTCATACTTCATACAATCCATGTTCCGATTTTCAGTGGATGTTTACAGCTGTTTCTCTTCATTTTGAGTTGTGCCCCATCAGCAAATGAAAGTCCTGTGGGCTTTTCTCCCACAGGCTTTAATCCATTCCTGTCATCATGGTCAACTCTACTTTGAGGAGGCAGCTCTTCTCCAGTCACATTTTGAGTGCCTTCCAGCCTCAGGGGCTCATTTCCTGGCATTATATCTGACAGTGTTTTTGTGCCGTTCATAAGGTTTTCAGTGACTAAATATTCAGAAGTAGTTCGTCATTCCTTCTTCCTAGTCTGTCTTCGTCTGGAAGCTCATCTGAAACCTGTCCACCATGGGTGACCCTGCTGGTATTTAAAATACCGGTGGCATATCTTTCAGAATCACAGCCACTCACAAGCCACCACAGTACAACAAACTGACAGATGAGTGGTGGCTTCTAAGCATAGCAGATGGCAAAACTAACCAATCCCCTTCATTGGGGTGCCAGGCATCTTATTTGTATTATTTGTAAGCCATCCAGTCCCCATGGGCCATATTTGCATAGTTGCACCTGATCATTTGGTGGAAGGTACAAGACTGGTGAGAAAGGCCACATGAAAATGATTGTCACCCTGCAGAGGCTCAGTTCCTTGTTTCTTTATTGGTCATCAGTAACATCAGGTAAAAGAACGTGGAGAAAATGTGGAGCTACACAGTATATTTGTTTTCTAATACCCTTTCTCAGTCATTCTAACTGTATATCTTCAATTCATTCAAAAATATTTATTGAACCCCCACCATGTGTTAGATACTATTCTAAGAGTTTGAGCACAGTGAACAAAACAAAGATCCTTCCCTCATGCCACTGATATTTGGGCAAGGAGAGATAATAAATAATAGAATAAGTAAGTAAGTGCTATTAAATATTAGCCCATGACTGTCAAATCAATTCATGGGGAACCTAGAGGACAGTAGACAGCCCCATAGGGTTTCTAAGACTGCAGTCTTTATGAATGCCAAGTGTCTCATCTTTCTCCCACAGAGCAGCTGGTGAGCTCAAACCGCTGTTGACCTTGTAGTTGGTAGCTAAGCACTATAACCACTTTGCCATCAGGACTTTATTGAATATTGAAACCCTACCCACTGCCATCAAGTCGATTCTAGCTGATAGCAGCCTCTGTAGGGTTTCCAAGGCTGTAAATCTTTATGGGAGCAGAAAGCCTCACCTTTCTCCTATGGAACAGCCCAGTGCATAACCCACTACACCACCAGCTCTCAAGCCCAGGAAAGATTGTTTAGGGTGCTAGTTGCAGTTTTGAATGTGATGGTTGGAGTAGGGCCTCACTTGACACAGTGATATGCGATATGAAGGAGGGGGTTCAGAACAGCTAATCGGAGTCCACAGTAGTAAAGCGAGGTGTCTGCATTCTCCTTGGGAGAAGCTACCTCCTCTAGCAAATGCCCCTTCCCAGCAGATCCCGTGGTGTTGAAACAGGAAGTCTGAGAACTAGAGAGAATCTTTAAAATGTCACTTGGCCCAGTTCCACTTTTATGATGACATGGGAGAGTCTTCTTTTCTTCTGGACTTTTTTTTTTTTTCAGTAAGCTCTCAGCTGGAGGCATTCACTAAGCCAGCCGGCCTTCTGTGTTCCGCAAGTCTTTCCAGCAACCCAGTGAAGCAGCAGTGACCTATTATCCCCATTTCCCACAGAGACCCAGGTGATAGGACCTACCTGAACTCACAGCTATAGAGTCTGAGACACATTCCCACTTTGATCTGTCTGACCTTGAGGCCTAGTGCCTTCCCAGCCTCCCCATGGCCCCATCTCTTATCCCACCAGCCTCTAACTCACCCCTTTCTTTCCAGACCAGCATTCTCAAAACTGGAGGACTCCTTTGAGGCCCTGTCCTTATACCTGGGGGAGCTGGGCATCCCACTGCCAGCAGAGCTGGAGGAGCTGGACCACTCTGTGAGCATTCAGTATGGCCTGACTCGGGACTCGCCGCCCTAACCCCGGCCCAGCCCCCTGCAGAGGGGGGCGCTCCATGGCCAGCATTGCCCCTCTGCCCTATCCTATGGCTTCCTGTGGATTGACGGCTTGTTTGGAAGCAGCACAAGCCATCCTTACTACCTCCCCAGGAGGCGAGTGGTACAGCACCAGGGAAACCCATCTCCACAGACTTTGGAGCCTGGTTCCTGTCTCTCAACCCAACACTCGCCTGAAAGCTGTGAAGAAAAAAGCCTGGCCAGGAGGAATCTGTTACTTGGGACCACTTGGGAACTCCCTGGCAGAGGATTTCGACCTCCAGAGACTCCAGAGACTTGCTTACACTACTCAGCATGATGTGGACCTGCTGGGCAGGATCCACCAGGGAGATCCGTCGGGGAGACTACCTGTGGGCTCTAAGTCTGTCAAGCTGGTGCACAAAGACTTCAAGAGAGACTGTGGGCCATAGACACTAGCAGCCTGGTGGTGCTACAAGGGTGTGAACGGTGGTGGTGCGAACCCACCTTCCCCTTCAGGTCCTGCCTCCCCCAGGATAGAGTTGGAGGAATCGGGCTTTAAAGAGCCCCGTAGTTGCTTTGTGCTGGGCCTGGCCAAAAGTTGGGGAAGGACTGGTTTGTAGCCACCTCCCAGGGGTGACTCTGGCCAGCCTAGTAACCATATCCATGTGAGGAGAGCTTCCACCTCATGTTTTCTAACTGCAATACTGGAGATTGGCTGGGGCTTTCTAGGCAAAGGTCTTTTATGCTTACAGTAAGTAGTCATCCTCAGTCAAAAGGTCCTTTATGCTTACAGTAAGTAGTCATCCTCAGTCAAAAAGTCCTTTATGCTTATAGTAAGTAGTCATCCTCAGTCAAAGCCCAGAAGCTTTTCACCAGGCGTCCAGACGATTACCTAGAGCTAGATGAGCTCTGCAGGACACAGGAGCTTGTCACTGGCCCAAGGTCTCAGGCAGGAAAGTGAGAGGAGATGACATTCTCTTGGCCTTGGGTTAGCCACTACTCACCTTCCCGTATCTGGGGCTGGGAAGAGTGGTGGCAGAGCCCCAAAGCTGAGACTGAGGGACACAGCTGGGCCAGGTGGCTTCCATCACTCCGGTTCCTTGACCCAGCCTCTTGGGCACTGAGCAGCCCTGGGAGCATCCTCCACCTTGGCTTCCGGAATTCCAGGGGCTCCTCAAAACAACTAGATTAACCTCCTAAGTGTCTGCAAGCTTGCACCATTTTGAACCAATCGGGGTTGGGATTGGTGTGGCGGTTTATTTTGGGGGGTGGGAATGGGGGTGATCCAAGAGAGTGGTTGGTGTTAATAGTATTTTTATCTTGTTCTGGTGGGTGACATGTGAACTGTTGTACATAGATCTGATGAGTTGTGGGATCGGATATCTTTGGCCAGAGTTTACTTTGTCTATACTGTACATGTGAGTAGAGTGCAAACTTGCCATGGGGTTGAGCCCTGGACCCCCAGTAGCAGCCAAGGTTAGCATCGTGTGGCTGGTTGTGCCTCAGCTGTCCCAGCAAGTATGGGAGTGGTGGGCAGAGCTAAATTTATTTAGAAGACTAAATAAATTAAGCAGTTAATATAACTGATGATACTGAAGTGACTAGAGGAGGCTCAGCTCAAGAAGGTAAATGTGGGTCTGTGTACGCCAGGAAGGCAGGGCCTCCCTGCTTTTTCTAGAACAGCGCTGCCTTCACCCCATTGCAGAGAGTACTGTACTCCCAAGTCCCATCCCTCTCCTTGGGTGCACACACACTGCACCTGAGGTAAACTGCTCATAGGAGTAAGTCCAACCTGTGTCTGGGCTTGAGCAGAGTCCACCCTGGGTGTTCTAGAAGCTTCTATTCCTGAAGTCCTGCTTAAAGTCCAAAAAGAAGCCACCATGCAGGGCCCGTCCTCAGCCCAGTGAAGCCCAACCACTCCTCTCCCCACACATCATCTCTCCCTTGGCTGCTCCAGCCATGGACGGGACCAACAGGGCCATCCTTTACACGGTCTTTCCAGCAGCTTCACCTGAAGAGATTCCTGGGGAGGAGCCAGTCAGAACAGTCACCTGATTTAGGAGCCTGGGACAGAAGAGAGAGCCCAAGCCCACCGCACAGAAGCAGACAGGGTAGTTAGGGCAGTGCTCCTAAGGCATCACAAATGCACGGCAATGTGGAGTCTTTTTGTTTAGTTTTTAATTTATGTAAGTCAGATGCAGAGCAATCTCCTGTATGTCATATGCCGGTGTCAGAATGAGGTATATAAAATGTATACAGAGAAATGCTTTTTAAGAAAAGTAGAAACCAGTGATGTCCTCTTCTCCAGCATCACTATCACCAAGGGACTGCCCAGCGGGTAGTTCCCTCCACAGATGACTCTAAGGAATCACCTGCTAACAGGAATGGGCCTAGCTTGCCCTTCACTTCCACCTGACTGGAAGTGGAAGGGCATTGGAAAGGAAACTCTGGGGACACGCTGCTGAGGCCTGCAAGTTGGACAGGGTGTGGAAACCCTGTGGAGTCCCAGTCAGCAAGCTGGGTCCTCTCGGTCAGTAGTTCCCTCTGTCACCTTGGGCCAGGCACATTCTCAGGGAGGGCCCTATGTCCAAAAGGCTTGAAGAACCCTAGGTCCTTTCCAGTAGCTGTGACTTTTTTACAAGTTCAGGTGGCAACCCCAGTCCCTCAAAAGGCACTGGCCTAGAGGCCACACGGTCACCTATGAACTCAGGTGCCTGCCAGGGGCAGCCTGAAGCTCTTGACCACCTGGCTTAGTCTCCAGGCACACCTTTCAGAAGCAGCTCCCAGGGCTGCACAATGTAACTCCCATGGCTTAGTTAGCTGTTCTCTTACCCCTGGGAAACGAGGAGAGGTCAGAGTCCACCCCTGAAGAGACACTGTCTGGGGCTTCCTCTGCCCCTACAGTCTAAGGCAAGGAGTGGCACCTCCTCTACCCTGGTCCTAAGTGGAATGTTCAGTGTGGCTCTTCCCTTCCTTTCCTTTCCAAACAGGAAGAGTCCCTGGGCCTTAGTCTGACCCATGGCTGACAAGGCACATCACTGCCAGCAGGCTGGAGTACTCCCAACAGCCCCCAGCCTGGGTCTCGCTCCAGGTCCACAGCTCTGGCGTTTGTACAATCTTATTTCTAGTTCTCAGAGGTCAGTGGGGAGTTTCCTATCCCAAAGAGATGATTAAAAACTAAATACATTTTTTTAAAAGACCTCTCTTGACCTGCTTGACCAGAACTATGAATAACAGTGTGCACCACTCAAGCCCACAGCAAACAAATGGGAAGGCAGAGACTGGCTGTTTCAGATAATGAAATGCAGAGGAGCCTGGGAGTGTGTGTGTGGGGTGGTCCCTGTCCACCCCTGGTTTGGTTCTGGGGGCGGGGGTGTAAGCAATGTTTGGAAGCCTTTATCAACAGCACCCTCCACAAGCAAAACCTTGCTCCAAGGGACCTCCACAGCTCCGCCTCCAGCCCCAAGGCCATCCGCTTCTGTCTGCTGCTGGGTCTCACACAAAAAGAACGTGGAGGGAGGGTCTAACCACAACAAAAAGAGTGGATGCTCCCAGCTGTGGGAGGGCAGGCTGTCCTGCACCATAGTCTCATGGGCTCTGGTCACTGAGGCAGGGAACGGAAACTCAGGCCCCAGGAGTGCCGGCCTGGTCCATGAGGGGAGCGCTGCCCTCCTGAAGGTCGACTGGAGTCTGGCTGGCATGGACCACAACCATCTTCTCATCCACAATCTCACAGGTGGGGTTGGTAAAGGCAGACAAGGGCAGTGTGATTCGATGCATCTCCCTCTCACAGGCTTTCTGCTCGTGCTGTGTTTTTAAGTCCTTGGCCCTGTCAACAAAGAGGGAAACCTTCAGGCTACAAGCTCATCCGATAACCCTGACAGGCAGGGCTAGCCCATGCAATGGTCGTGGTCACAGAGAGTCAGGGCTCTAACCAAGGTCCAAGGTACTAGGTTTCCAGCCTGCTAGACTTCTGGTATGGCACTGTGGGTTAATGCGCTGGACTGCAAAGTCGGCTTCAACTCCAACGTTGGCAGTTCAAGCTCACCAGCTGCTCCTTAGAAACCCTATACAGGATTGCTATCGAAGCCACTTTAAAAAAAAAAAAAAAACCTACCTCAGACCAACAAGGCACTCCAGCACCTCTGGTCCCTACTTCCTCATCTCTACAGTGGGGAGGAAGCAGTATGATGCTCATACAGCTGCATTGAGGCTCAATCAAGGTAACATGAAGGAAAGAGGTTTTTAAAGTAAGACAGTTTTGTCCCCTGAGCCCAGGTCTTCAACAGACCCAGAGAATCAGCTCAGCTTCAGCCCTGACCAGACCATCTGTTCCCAAGGTGTGAGTCCAGGATGGAAACTAACCATCCCAACCCAGGCAAAAACAACTAAGGGTTGCTTAGGTCAAATGGAAACAATGAAACAATAACTGCGCTGTGGTGGTGGTGGTTATGTGCCATGGAGTCAATTATAGGGTTTCCAAGGCTATAAATCTTTCCCATGGAGCTGCTGGTAGTTTTGAACTGCTGACCATGAGATTAGCAGCCCGATTCGTAATCAGTACATTACCAGAGCTCCTTAACCATTCTGTAAGATCCCTGAGAGTTTTCACAGGCCTTTGTAGCCACAGGTGTTCAGTGACCCAACCAGGCCAGTGGTAACTTCCGTCTACTCTTGGGGAATGCTCACTCCATGCTAATATTCTCTCACTTTACAGATTTTCTTTATTGTCTGTGTTTTCCATATATTCATATTATTTCATTCTCAGCTCAACCATAGGAATTCAGTATCCGCACTCATTTCACAGACAAGGAAGTGGCCTGGAGAGGTTCAAGACAAGGTGGGTTCCAACCCAAGGCCACTGGGCTCCAGATGATCTCAAGAGAAATGCTGGCCCTATCAGGTTACCCACATGGAATGGTGGGACAGGGACTCTTCTGGCCCCACTGAGCCAGGCCCAGCCCCTATGCAGAGGAGAGGGCTTGGTGAGTACCCAGCTCATGACACACCAACCCCAGGGCCCAAGTCAGCATCCTCCAAAACCAGCAGAAGCAAGGAGGAAAACTTCCCAGGAGGGGCCCATCCCTGAGTGAAACACCACCGGCTTCAGTTCTCCAGGAGGACAAGACTGATCAATCACACTCCCATCATGATGTGCAGTGTGTAGTGACAGGCTGGAGACTGGAGACGAATATGGAGGTGGGGGGAGAGGGGCGAAGATGAGCAAGGAGTTTGCACTGGGGCCTCAGAAAGGACTTTAAATCAGCCAGTTCCCTTCACTGGTGTTTTAGCTATGTGACTGTGAGGTCAAATACTTAGCTCCTCTGAGCCTTGGTTTCCTCCTCTGTGAACAGAGGATAATATACACTCACAAATAAGATAATGAGTGGGTGATGATCTGCTCTACAACTTGACTCCTGACTCAGTAAAGCAACGTTCTCTTTATTTGGTTTCCCAAGGAAACTCCTACTGACCAGCTGAGACAAGTACTGTTTATGACCTCAGCAACCTTCCTTTCTTCATCTGTCAAATAATGGAATTGTGCTTGACCATCTCTAGAGCCCCTGGCACAATTCGCTTTCTCACTCTGAGCTCACAGGAGCCAAATTTATGAACCAGAGTCAGCCCCCGGGTGGCTTAGGGTCACTGAGTTCAGCCTCTTCCCTCCTTCTTATTAGCTTTTGTACTGGGTACCACCAACTCCCATTGCATGCCGAGGGGAGACTGGAAGGACACTGTCCATGTGGAGAGAGCTGGCCTGAGATTCGCTTCACCCTTGGGGACTGCCCATTGGGTACAGTTGCTGCCACATAGAAGAAAATGCCTGCCTCCATAATAAACCAAAATGCCAGGACTTTCAAGGGTGCCCTGTGGGGAGAAACTTGGGAGGAAGGGCTGGGTTTAATTTTACTAATGGAGTCCCCAAGCCTATTGGAAACCAAAAGTCAATTTACAAACGAAATGGAATGTATGAGCGTTTTTTTGCCAGTGTCTAAATTTCAAGATCCAAAGTGTTGGAGGAAGGGGGAAGGCAGGAAACTCCCTAAGTACCTACATCTTGTTGTTAAGTGTCGTTAAGTGTTAAGAGTGGTTCCAACCCACAGAAACAGTTTCTGAGGAGCAGCTGGTGAGCTTGAACCACCAACCTTGTAGATCAAACCAACTTTGCAGTTCAGTGCATTATTCCACAGCGCCACACCAGAACATACTTCCTACCTACTAAGATGCTGGGAAATGGCCTTGCTGTTCTCCAGGAGAGAGACCAACACAACACTGCATACAAGTGCTCTATATACACACCATCTCCTTTTACATCCACATCGACTGCAAGGTCACATCCCACTTTACAAATGAGGCTTTGGAGTCTGGCTCCAGCATGCTATTCTCAACTACCTTCTTCACCAAGCATCTGGTCAGATAATGGTCAGGCAACACTGTGCTGTCTTTAAGGGGTAGCCCCTTTGTACTAATTGGGGAGAACAGGGCTAAAAGTGCAGCTAAAGGTAAAGGAAGCAGGTGTTGGGGCCAGTCTGGAATAGTGTCATCCACTGAGCCGTCTCAAGCACCCCAGCCTTACATGCCACCCATTACCATGCCTGGGAAGCCTGGGGCAGCAGCAGCCACCCCAACTCCCCCCTGGAAACACAGGAGGGGTCCCAGGCCTGCTGCGCTGCCCACCAGGCAACCTCCCTCTCAATGCCTGCAGGGGCAATGGATGCAGTCTGGCAGCCAAGAAAGAACAAAGGGTTTATTCTCTGACTCAGCTCCTCTCCTAAGTGGGTGGAGTGGTGTCCACTTACAGTTTTCTCTTGCCTTTTTATCAGAAGAGCTCCCTCCAGAGCTAATGCAGACACTGCTCATGGGACAGGGGCAGGGAATTGCTGCTCTGTTAAAGACTGGCCATCTAAGCCTGTGGCCTAGACAACTGGGACAAAGACCCCACTAGGCTGAGCCCTTCCTCCCTTGAGAGGAAGCCTGGGGCCTGCCCATCCTTCCCAGGTCCCAGCCAGGAGAAAGCCTCATCCATTTGCCTCAGTATTATGGCCTTTGGCAGAGTGGGAAGCCTGCGGTAATTCTACCCATGACTATAGCTAGGTCAGGAACAGGAGCCAGACTGGCCACAGGGACCAGGTGCAGATGGCACCGGGACCTGCCTCTGACTTCCTCCTGCCAGGGAGATGGAGGCCCCGCAGACTTCCCTCAAGCAACACAAGTTTCTTCCAATTATTATGTAACCTGTCAGAAGCAGTGCTGTCCTACCCTGCTAGGCAGGAAAAGCCCCCCAGACTAATTATATGCCTTAGGCTGTCAAATTTCATCCAGCACACTTAAGTGCTATCTGGTAGGATCTTTACTAGAGATGAGAAAGAAGCAGCACAGATTAAATCATTTGAGAAGCAAACAGCAGAGCTGGCATTTAAACCTCAGAATGCCTGTCCCATCAGGCAGGTATACCTTTTTAGGATCTAATAGGTCTGGGAGTGGAGCACAGTGACTCCATGGAACAAGCACTAGACTGCAAAACACGGTTAGCGGTTTAAACCCACCAGCTGCTCTGTAGGGAAAAGATGAGACTTTTTGCTCCTACACAGATGTAAACACCTCAGAAACACTATACAGGGTTGCTATGAGTTGAAAGTGAATCAACAGCACTTAACAACAGGGCTGGGAGAATCATCATAGCCGCCCCTCACCCCTGCCACTGCACTCCTTTACAGATAAGGAAACTGAGAAGGAAAATGACTTGTCCAGGGTCATACCCAGGACTGGTGCCAGTTTAGGATCTAGAACGTGGTTCTTTTGACTTCTAACCCTAGCTTGTTTCCTATCTTTCTTTTTATTAATTTTAAGTTTCTATCTTTCCTACTTGGCAATTCAAAGCAAATTGATTTGCAGTTACTGCACCTCATTGAACTTTTGAAGATGTCTTGGGCATCGCTTACTCACTGTAACTTGGACATAGCTGCTCCCTGTGAATTGGTGTGACATGTTCTTTCTAGAGTGGGCGTGAGCATGCACTGGGTGGGGTCTTGTTATTAGGGAAGCACACAGTAAATGGTGACTGCTGTTGTAAAAATCATTTGTCCTGCTGTTCACATTTAATCCTCATGATAATCAAGGAGGGCATGGGTAGAGGTGGAGGAGGTGTCACCACATCTAACAGATAAGAAACGGAAGTTCACACCTGCCCTGCAAGGGACCACTTTTAAAGGTTCTGGATAGAGTGGGAGAAAATGTAGAACTAAACTCAAAATAAAAACAAGCAAACAAAACAGGCTGACTGGTCAGATAGAAACTTTTGGAACCCGAGACCTTGGTCACCCTTCAGTTCTGGAACTGAACTCACCCACGTGGCTCAATTTTCAGCCAAGCAATTGATATGTATATAGGGGAGACAACAACACTAGTGAGGTACACACACACCATGGACTGGTCAACCATTCGAGATGGCATGTGATAGGTGGCACCACATTGAGCTGAAACAAAGGGATCTGTTGACTGTAAAACCAATGATCTGTTCAGTAACCTACACTCTATTCAAAATGAACAGTAAGAAGATATATATAGAGAGAGAAACTGAGGTTCAGAGGAGGGATAACACTTGCACTCAGCTTCCAGCTTTTTGCAGGACACTTGTTTTCTGCTTTGGGAGAGAAACAGTTCAAACCTGCCTGGCACGTGGGAGCTGAGAGCTTGTCTCCAGCCCACATGCGATTTCCTGTTGTACACTGTGTTCTCAGAGCACTTTTGTTGAAGAAAGGGGTGGTCCCAGGGTTAGTGACAGGGAGTTGGCTGACTGAGTGCCTTGCCCAAAGTTTACAGGAAAGCCACACTGAAGCCTCAGGGTTGTCCCATGACTGCCTAAAAGACCAAATCTAGAAGGAAAATGTCTGGTTTCCTCCCTGGGCACCAGAACTGAATTCGGAGTGCAGTCATTTCCAAGCACCTGGAGGCCTGGAAACTGTCACAAGCTGGGATAGCCGGATGCTGTCCACAGCCTAGCAAGGAGGCAACAACATTTGAAGGGATACACTCAGCCATGTGACCATGAATTGTAAGGCCAAGGCCACCATCTCATTCCTCTCAGTCTCTAAAACAGTAAAGGAAATGAGAAAGTAAGTATGTCTGGACCTGTCATATCAGCCATACTTCTGGGTGACAACCATGCACAGGGGTCAGGAAAGCCTCTCAGTCTGGTCACTTCCCCTCTCTAGACCTCTGCTTCCTGCATCAGAGAAAACCAAAGAAGGTCTGGGGCTCAGCAAGCACTCATCCAGCACCCACATTTTTGAGGAAAGAGCAGATACTGTTGGTAATGTGTCCATCAACATGCCCAGCTATCAAAGGCCTCTACCCCACACCAGTACTTGTTGTTGTAACTGTTGTGTGCTGTCGAGTCAGTTCTGACACACAGCAACCAAGAATGGCTGGCGGGGTTTGAACTGCTTATCCTGAAGTTACCAGTCTAATGCTTATCCCACAGAGGCACACCAGGGCCCATATCAGTACTCAGAACTAGGAAATAAGAGAAACTCACCCAAGGTCACATAACTAGCTAATATGTGGCAGAACCAGGAAATGAGGTCTACCAAATGCTAGGTGGGACCTTTGGCAAATATTTCTTCATTTCAGGTTTCCTCATCCTTAAACTGGGGACAGTGAGTGAAATCATGCAAAGTGTGCACAGCTAATCCAGCACATGGTAAAGAAAATAAGAATGACTAATATTATTATTCAGCACTGCCCCTTTTCCATCTGTAAAACCCAAGATTAACTATATCACTGCTGAGCGCCCAGGGCCAGCTCTGACACACTAGGTCTATACGATGCTGGAGTATGGGCTCAGACGTGGTCCTCACCACAGACACACAGGGCTGGGAGTCAAACCCTCAGATTCTGCCCAAATTCAGCCAGTACTGTCAAAATGAATGCCACTCTGGCCTGCCATGATGCACCTGTCACTTTGAGGTTCTGGGAGCCTTTTCTACACAGTGTCCTGGGGTCTTTTCAAAATAGCATTCCTCCTCCCTGGGTCCCAGCCACAGGTCACACCCTAGTGCCTCAGGGAGCTTTCTCATCTGTGATGAGGACTGACAAAGTGAGTCACACCCTCTATTCTCTGACTCTATCCGCCTGGACCAGAAGAGATCCCACTTCAGGAAATTCAAGCCCCAACTACAGAAAGGGTGGCTGGGGACACAGAATTTTAAAACTCACAGAAAGAATTTAGTCTCATGGTTGCTGCAATGAGTACCCAGCCTGCATTCTGCACAGCCACGCACTTCCATAGATTAAACGATGGGGAAACTGGTATTAAAAGAGCTGGGCTTAAACCAGATTCAGCAGCTCCCAGGCAGTGTGACCATGGGCAAGTCACTTCGCCTCTCTGACAACAACTTCCTGATCCACAATATGAAAAACTAGAACCCCAACTTCATAAGGCTTTGGGTGAGGAGTAAAGGCACCAAAGGAACATTTTTATCCAACCACCTAGTGAAAACCAGAACTATATGGTAACACTTGTCCATCATCTTGCTTCTGTTTTTTGTAAGAATGCCTCAGAGGAGGTTGATCTAACTTTGTGTACCTTCCCCTCTCCTCCTCTCAAGAGAACCCAAAAGGGAAGCTGACCTCTTGTAAGTGTAGCCCAAGACGATGCCACCTCCAATGGCAATGATGATCACCATCATTGTAATGCCCAGCACGTAGCCTGCCAAGGAGAAGACACAGTCCTATTAGCTACATTCTGGACCCATCAGCAAATGATACCACTTGATGGATCCAACAAGGACAGGGGTGAGGCAGTCATACCCAGGGTCCCCAGGTCCTTCTTTTCCTTGGAGTTCATGCGCACGCGCTGGCTGATCCCAATCACAGGCTGCACAGCTGCTGCCTCGCTGTGCGCAGGTAGGGCGTTAGCAGGGGGGAACGCCTGCACGTCATCTTCCTGGGGCACCTCAGGGGCCTCCTCCACCCTTTCTGTTACAGCAGTTGGTGGAACTTGGGACGGTGTCTCTGGGGGTGAGGTGGGAAAGAACTCTCATCAGAGACTGTCCTGAGTTAATTTCACAGCTGAACTCCTAGATGATAGGCCAGGCCTGAGAAATGACAAGCTCAGCCCAGTGCCAACTTTCCCAGGGGACGTTCCTTGGGACAGCTTATTCATTGAGCTCATGCTCTGTGCCAAGCCCAGCGTTATTCTATTTAATTCTGATGCCTCAGGAACATCAAATGTGAGCTGTGGAGTCAAACGCGGTCCCTGCTTTAAAGCCTGGGAGCTCCCCAACAGCTTCTTCCTAGGAGGGGTTGAGAGCATAGTGCCCGAGGCACACAGCACATGCTCCTTACACGGGCAATAAAAGCCGAGGGGATCACGCGGGGCCAGGGGCCTGGGAGCGGTCCGAGGGTCGCCCAAGGCGGCGCGCGAGGCGGGGAACGAGTGGCCGTGGGTGGGGCCCCGCCTCCTTCGGTTGTTTACAAGGCGCTCGCGGAGGATGAGCTCACTCAGAGTGGCGGCGACGGCCAATAGGCTTCCGGCCCCACTGCCTGGAGACAACACTGGCCAATCGGCGAGCGCAGGGGGGGGCGGGGCCGGGCGGGGCCGGGCGGGGCCGATCGGCATCGCGCGGCCGCACGTGCGCTTCGTACGCAATGGCCGCTCCCAGGCGGGCTGGGTTGGAGGGGTTTGCGTTGCTGGCACCCGGGTACCTGGGCAGCTCAGGTCCTCGCACGGCCGCTTCTCTGGGGCGCCGGCCTCGCCGTTGACGTAGCACCAGGGCCCGCGTGGGTCGTGGTCGGGATTCCGGCAGTAGTTGTGGTCGCCGGTGCCTAGGAGGGGAGAGAAAGGCGCCGTGGTCTTGGGGACCCGGGCCGCGCCGCCGCCCCCCGCCGGTCTGGGCGACACTCACCTGCCTTGGGGGCCGACGAGCCGCTCTGCGCGTGCAGCCAGTTGAGGCAGCGGAGGCCCGGCGCAGGGGAGGGCTGGTCCGCACGATACAGGTGGCCGTTGTCCCAGAAGCAGCCTGTGAGGAAGTGGAGTCCTGGGCGCAGAGTCGGACCGAGTTCCCCTCCCATCGCCGAGACCCACTGCCTCCAGCGCCCCAAGCTGGTGCCTAGCCCGCAGGCAGCGCGCCGGGAACGTGTGTGTCTGTGTGTGTGTGTCAGTCTGTCTCTGTGCAGTGTGCATGCCAGTGTGTCCGTCTATGCCTGTGTGTAACATGTGTCAGTGTATATCTCTGTGTGTATGTCAGTTTGTGCGTATCACAGGCGGAAAAGCGCTGCAGAAACGCAGAAGAGGTAGTCACTCTGAACTTGCGGCCACTTCGGGGAGGCTGGGGGCCCTCTGTGGTGTGCTGTAATGTCTGTGTTACATAAACAGTCGAGCCCCTCTGCCGGGTCCCCTGGCAGCATGCCCTCCAGGTGAATTCGGGCTAACGGGGCCAGAACATCATCAGAGGGAACCAGCTCAGCGCCTCTTGGACGTGGCTCCAGATCCCCAGTGTCCGCTGCCCAAGCGCCCCAGGAGGCTGGGCTCGGCCACATCTTGTAAAAGTCCCAGACAGTACCAGGCGCTGGGAGTGGGCAAGAGGAACCCCCAAACTACATCAACTTAAGAGCCCCCTGCAAGCAAAGGGAAAGAGAAAGTGGCTAGTTGCCTTTGTTCTTAAAGACCAAAGATGGAGCTGCCAGCCCCTGCTGGAGAGAGGCAAGGGCATACCTAGGTTTTTCCCAGCTGAGATCTCCCGTTCCTGCCATCGCCTGTCTAGCCCTCCCATCCACTTTCCCCGCTCAGCTTCCTTCAGCTGCTGCAGAAAGGAGAGCTTCTGTCTCACCTCCAGCGCCATAGACTTGGACTAAGAACATGCTGCTGACAAGGACCGTTTGCACACAGGCCAGCAGCATCCTCGCCTCAGGTGTCTTGCAGGTGGATGAACAACCAGTGTCCAAAGTGCAGACGAACAGGATGCCTGCTGCCTCGTGTCCCCGCCTCGCAGGCTGACCTGCCCCGCTGTGCGCTTCTGGTAAACAGCCTCTCTTTAGAACTGGGAGCTTCCTAAGCGCACCGCGAGGTGTTTTCAGCAGCAAGGCGCCCCCTGGGTCCTAAGCTCCCGTATCTACAAGGTCGTTGACCCGGTGCCCAGAGAGGAAGCCAGCCAATCGTGACTGAACAGCGGCGGACCCGTTTGAAACCTGCAGAGCTTGTTATCTCTTCTACCATCTGTGTGAGTACAGAAATAATAGTTCCAATAAGAGGCATTATGGCAGCAAAAGCAGCTTAGAGGAGGAAATGCTCAGCTACACAGCCAGGAGGTCAGGGTGAGGAAGGATGGAAGAAACTTGATTCTCAGGGGGGAAATAAAAAAAATATGCGGGACTTTATGGTTCATAGTGAGCCGTGGTGCCACAATGGGTTTACCATTGGACTGCAAACCGAAAGGTGGGCAGTTCAAACCTATCAGCTCCAGGGGAAAAAGATGTAGCAGTGGTCTTCCATAAAGATTTAAACCTTATGGGAGGCGTTCTATTCGGTCATACAATGTCAGAGTTGGAATCCACTCAGTGGCAGCATGTTTGGTTTGGTGTTTTATGGATTATGCTGTTTGTGAACACAGATGGTTTTGGTTTTTGTTGTTGGTTTTGTTTTGTTTTTAAGCAGTGTAACTGCCAGGGTCAGATCAGTTGCATTCTTTTCATTTGGAAGTTGGAGTCTGGGGTGTCATACATTGTAGGAATAAAGAAATCTCTTTAGTTGAAAGTCTGTGTAACATACACATTGGGACATTTGCTCAGCTCTAGTGTAATACTCTGTTCTTTCTGTTGTTGTTTAGTGCCTTTGAATGGGTTCCAACTCATAGCGACCCTGTATGGAGTTTCCAAGGAGTGGCTGCTGAGCTTGAACCACTGACCTTGTGCTTCAAACCAACCTTAAAGTCCAGTGCATTAACCTTCAGCGTCACACCAGGACTGTTCTTTCTACCAGCCCTGAATTCATATGGAGGAAGTTAAATGTTTACTTTATCCTAGGAAATCCATTTGCAGTGATTGATATCCATCCTTAAACCTCGTCATATGCCAGGGGACTTTTGGAGTTGGGCAAAAGGGTCTCTTCCTCTGTGGCTGACAGTTTAAATTCTCAGTTGAGCCATAGAGCAGAGTGATTCACCAAGACTATCTTGTGACTCAGGAAACTCCCAAAATAGAAATGGAGACTCTGTTTCAATCTGTGGACTTACATTTTGCAGAATGATTTAGGGAGAGAGAGAGAGAAAAAAAAAAATCTTGGCTAAAAACGCCTTGACTAAACAAGCTTTATCAAGGAAGAAAACAAAAGCAGTCCAACCAACCTGGAATGAATTTGAACTTGCTGCTTCAATCAGATTTCAGACATGGAAAGAGCAGAGAGAGACAGTGGAAAGTTCATCTTTTAAATTGTTTGCAGGATTCCTTCAATCCATTTAATAAGGTATGTTGCACCTTATGCCGTCAGTCTCCTGTTGCCCCGCACAAACTTCTGATCCTCCAACTCCTGAGTTGCTTGATGCTAGGACTCACACTGTGGATGGAGTCTGTAAATTTATACATACCTACAGATTAAGTGGCTGGTGTGATGCTATAGAATAAGCACTGGATTGGTAACCACAAGATTGGCAGTTCAAACCTACCAGCCGCTCGAGGAAACCCTATACAGGGTGGCTACAGGTCAGAACCTATTTGACAACACAGTAGCAGATATGCCAAAATGTAAATTTAACAATTTAAATTTACCGTAAGATTCTATAGCTTCGTATGACAGTGAGTAAGGAAGACGTAGAATTGATGCTTTTGAGTTATGGTGTTAGAGAAGAATTTTAAAAGTACCATAGACTGCTAGATGAACAAACAAATCTGGGTAGGAATAAGTATAGCCAGAACGTTCCTTAAAAGCCGGGAAGGCGAGACTTCAGACATTATCAGGAGGGACCATTCCCTCATGCTTGGTAAAGTGGAGGGTCAGTGAAACAGGAAGACCCCCCAACAAGATAACGAGATAGACTGGCACAGTGGCTGCAGCAATGGGCTCAAGCTTACCTAAAATTATGAGGATGACACAAGACTGGGTGGTGTTTCATTCTGTTGTGCATGAGGTCATTATGAGTTGGAACAAATTCAAGAACAACTACATAATATTCAGTCTTTCAACACTGACTCTCACAAATAGTTTTGAGAACATACTACAAGCCAGATAAAGTTCTAGCTGCTGTGAATGCATCAGTGCCTTCAAAGAGCTTATATTCTAGTGGTAACTATGGTGTTTTACTTGCTGAAGAAAGCTTTCACTATTTTCAGGGCATCAATAGGATATTTCTGTAGGGGAAAAGCTGAAGAGGACGGGTTCTGGGCACAATTTCCCTTGAGAATCCCATATTCTTATGCCATTGCAAGGTGTATATGACATGAATTTTGTTTCATTCTATAAAATATTTAGTGGTGGTGGTTGTGTGCCATTGAGTCAGTTCTGACCCTGCATAGGGTTTCTGAGGCTGCAAATCTTTATAGGAGCAGAAAGCGTCATCTTTATCCCGAGGAGCAATGGTAGATTCAAACTGCTGACCTTATGATTAGCAGCCCAACTCATAGCACACTATGTTACCAGGGCTCTTTATAAAATATATGTTATTGTTGTTACTATTAAGTGCCTACTCTTGAGAAAATCCTAGTGCCATTTTTAATTTCAGAATGGCAGGGAGTTCTTTGGTGTTCAACCCTCAGCACCTAATCTATTACTTTTACATAAAGTGAATGCTTAGTTCTGGTTGTCTGAAGAAGTGCCCTTCCTTAGACTCAGGGAAACTTCTCCTGGATTATAATACACTTGTCCCTTTTATTATAATTGTGATATGCTCTCCCCAGGCCCACATTTACATGTACCATTATCATATTCTTTGCTGTGCCCACATATGGGTGTCAGATATTTCTTTTTAAGGAGTCCAAGACTTCCTTACATAATGCTACTATCATCTGATTACTCTGTGAAATTGCTATCTTCCTCAACATATACACCTTGATATCTACAACAAAGCCATATTCTTATTAGCAACAGCACTGTCTGAAAAAAAAGCCGGGAGGAGAATTTTTTTTTTTTTCAGGCTAGTCTTCTTTGCTGATTCCCATCCCAAAGCCAAGACATTTATCAGTGTAATTGGATTGTTGGTGAGACTTTGTTGTTGTTAGGTGCCTTCGAGTCCTGTCCGACTCATAGTAACCCTAGAATAATATAACAAAACGTTGCCGGGTCTTGCACCATCCTCATAATCATTACCCATGCACTAATTGCTGTTGCCACTGTGACAAACCATTTTGTTAGGGATCTTCCTCTTTTTCACTGACCCTCTACTTTACCAAGCATGGTGTCCTTCTCCAGGGACTGGTCCCTTCTCATAGTATGTCTGAAGTATTAAAGATAAAGTCTCACCATCCTTACTTCTGAGAAGTATTCTGGCTGTACTTCTTCCAACACAGATTTGGGTTTTTTTCTGGCAATTCATGGTACTTTCAATATTCTTCTCTAACACTGTAACTCAAATACATCAATTCATTGGTGAAACTAAGTTGTCAATAATTGAGGTGAATGGGCCTAGTCAGTGAAATCTCAGGGTGATATAGTGATTAGCATGCTTGGGTATTAACCCAAAACTTGGAGGCTTGAGTGGTGCTCAGAAGAAAGGCCTGGCTATCTACTTCTGAAGTGCCAGTCATTGAAGAAACCCTACAGAGCACAGTTCTACTCTGACACACATCAGGTTGCCATGGGTCCTGTCTCAGTCCTTCAAAGGCAGATTCTACTATAGTCACTTCAGTACCTTCCTTCTTCAAAGAAATCAGATTCAGTTCAGAAGCATGCCTGTCATCATCACCGACTGCCTTTTTGATGGTCCACATTTGAATGTTGCTCCAGCTGTGTGTACAAAATGACCATATTTTCTGTCCTGTCCCAGCTTCAGATATCTTCTGAAAATATTACTGCAATGATAACTTGATACAGCTCTCCTCAAAGAATCATTTGGAATTGTTTAAATCCCCAAAGACAGTATAGTAAAACTTTTAGCAGTCAGACTTTACTATTTCAAAGTGTTTGACTCTTTGTTTTGTGTTACGTGAGTCCCAGTCCAGAGCGATAGAGGTGTCTCTTAAGTTAGGAAACAGCCTCCAGAATGTTTACCAGGTAGGATTGGCAGTTCATTTTGATAACAGGCTATATAGCGGGATGGGGGAAGCTCCACTAAGGAAGTCATAAAGCTGTTAAAAGGCTTAAGAGTCCCTTTAATCAGCAAAAGAGGTCCAAGGTGTCGATAAAGATCTTCAGTGGAACTGCTAATGAGTTGCTCCCCCTGTTGACATACCTACTCATTGAGATTATGCTGAAAGATACTTTGGTATATAAATACAAACTGAGCAAGGGCATCCCCAACATTTAAAATTTTTTATTTTAATGAAACATGTTAAGGAAATAATGTTCTAGTCAAAATACCTAAGCCCCAAGTCTATTTCTTTGAAAGTATGGCCCTCCAGTGGGTTAGGTTGTGTCCATTCTGTATATGTACTACATATGTAGTTAAGTGTTTCATAAATATTTGAAATAAGAAGGAAAAACAGAATACCACAGAAGGAAAAACAATCAAATCAGCCTCCAGAGAATAGAAGACGTTTAAGGCTCAACAATAAAATAGCCAAGAAGGCTTGTTAATGGCAGGTCATGTGGAGAAACGAGGCATTCCCTACAGGTCGACTAAGAAGTCACAGAAGCAGAGAACTTGGGAGCATCGCTGATTTTGAGAAACAAGAAGGAGATCAAATTCCTGAGTAAGAAAGGATCTCGAGGTCAGACATAGAAAACATGACTCACATTCATGAAAACAGAGGCT